AGTTTAATTATCTTCAATGTATATGCGTTGTTTTACAGAACGATTGTTGGTATGTCTGAGCAAGTTAGGTAATGAGGGTGTAAAGTAATGAATGTGTCTGGATTGTGATGCATGTGCAGGTGGTGCATAATTCTGATTGGATGTTTGAGTGACTAAAAGTTTCTTGGTGTAGGAATTAGAAAAGTTTGTCAGAGAGGTTTAAATTAAGTTACAGGATAGACATGGCTGTTTTCTCTACTTAGATCAGAGAGATTTTAAAGGACCAGACATGACTGTTTTTCAATATCTACGGTAACACCAATGACTGGCTTTAGATGCTTAGAACCTGGTAATTAAATACGATGTATTTAAATGTGATGAATCTGTTCCTTGATGAAATAACATTTAACCGGTAATGTCTAGGTGACCGATATAAATCATATTTCAACCCAGGGGTAACCTTTTGAATCATATTGTAGTTTAATCTTGGTGAACTTTGTAAATCGTACGCATGTAGTCTAGGTGAAGTACATTTCAATCTTGGTGAAGTTTTAATACAATTAGGGAGTCTAGGTGAATCCGGGAAATAGATCTGTGACATGTGAAGGTTTTGTGTTTTCCGAGAATTTGTGTTCGGGTTTTAAATGTTTTAAAAAAACCAAATTACGCGATTGGGATGGTGGAATTAAGACGGAGAATTAATCTGAATGCTAACCAGGAGGATTGATTGAATTAAAGCAACAGAGTATTAAATGCCGGAATGAACTGTAACTTTAAAGCATTTAATTTTGTAAAAACCTCTTAAATTGTATATGTAAATTGATTGTACAATATACATATTTAAAATAAATTAATTAGTTGTGTTGTTTGTTGGAAATTTGGAAAAGGGGGCAAGTAAGTTAAAGAACCTGAGGTCACTTTGTAACACTAGTATTTGAGATCTATTCTGGCATTATTTGTTTACCTCATTAATTCATTAAGACGGCGATGCATAATTTTGAGACCGACTGCAGTGACTGCACTTATTTTGAGACCGACTATTTTTCTCCCTGGGGGAAATTTTGTTCTTAAGACTTACATACTCACAACAGAATAAGAGTAAAACACATCATTTTTTCAAACATAAGTTGACAAGGTTATTTTATACTAAAGTTTTGCGTGAGTAGCGTGACGTGTGCAGTGAGCACTTATTTTGATACCGACTGCTCTTATTTTGCGACCGACTGCATTGATTTTGCGACCGACTATTTTTTTTCCTGGGGGGGGGGGGCGGGGCCCCCCCCCCACATTTACGCCCCTGACAAGGGTTAAGTTCTTAAGCCGATGAAGTCTATTGACTTTCAACTATTTTGAAAATACATGTAATGACCTTTGATCACTTTGAAAAATCTAGTAATCATCCGATAGACTTGAAATTTATTTTCGGCATATTGATTATCAGCACTTTCCAAAATATACGTTCAGAGTTATCGACATCGACAAGAGTTGTAGATAATCAAGATTCTAGATTTTTCGAGTTCCTTATATTTATACACAGTAATAATGTTCATGAGATGAAGAAGCCTATATACCGTTGTTCACGTTTAAAAATCTTGTGGACTCTCTGGTGGTTAGTTATTTTCCGATTGATTTGGAATTAACACAATCTGTTCTATTTTAAGAAACCCGTTAATTTTCAGCGATTTCCGATTACAGAGTTATTACTATTTATTTTCCAATATATCTGAAATTAATACACAACGTTTTTCTTAAGAAATCTGTTAATTTTCAACGATTTCCTATAAGTCGAACATCTAAATTCATGATCGTTATAGGTACATTGAAATGTGGTCGCATATTGTCGTCGCCCCCGTCCGTCCGCCCGTCCGTCCGTCGGTCCGGCGTCCACAATTGCCTGTTGACGCTCTAGAGGCCAAAGTTAATACCCGATTGACTTTAAATTTCTACACAGTATTTAAGGTCATGAGACGAAGAATCCTATTGATTTTCAGCGATTTCAGATAATTATTGCCAGAGTTATGGCCCTTGATCACTTTGAAAAATATTGTGGACGCTATAGAGGCTAAAGTTAATATCCGATTGACTCTAAATTTATACAAAGTGTTAAAGGGACAATAACACTCTTGCTGACTTGATAGCTCCAGTAAATAAATATTAGCCTTATTGTAAGTATTAGATGTTTAAGTGTCCTACCTGTTGTGTAGATTATCCATTACATCCTATTTTACTTGTCCAGAGGGTTCCTAAATATTTTAAAATCCAAGTCACATTTGAAAAGGTTTACGTTAGGCTTTTCAAATCATTTAGTTGAATTTTTCCATTTTTTTTTAAATTAGGTGTGTTAAGATGAAGCTTGTATCATCAATTAATTGGAATACTGTAAAATAGGACAATTTGTTGACCAGAATAAAGATTGGGACATATTATTCAGTTACAACAAGAGTGGTATTGAGCCTTTAAGGTCATGAGACGAAGAAGTCTATTCATTTTCAGCGATTTTCGATAATTACTGCCAGAGTTGTTGCCCTTGATCACTTCAAAAAATCTTGTGGGCACTCTACAGGCCAAAGTTAATATCCGATTGACTTTAAATTTATACAGTGTTTAAGGTCATGAGACGAAGAAACCTATTGATTTTCAACGATTTCCGATAATTACTGCCAAAGTTGTGGCCCTTGATCACTTTGAAAAATCTTGTTAGACTCTAGAGGCTCAAGTTATGATCCCATTGACTTCAGATTGATACAGAGTTTAAGATCTTGAGACGAACAATTATATTGATTTTCAATGTATTTTTATGACTTGAACAGCTAAATCCATGATATTAAAGTTTCGTATACTAAACGTTAGCATGGGACAGAACTTTATAAAAACCAAAAAAATTCTAATGGTTTTCTGATAATTACTTCATAAGTTGTTACTCTTAATCAGATTTTAGTGTGTTATAAATGTTTCATTATCTAAAAAAGTAAAAATATGCTACAACACTTGTTGATTGCCCGGACGATTTAGCTGCTGTGGGCGTATGTTTCGTTGCCTGGCAACCTATGTTTTAGTGGAAATGTACACTTGTTAGGGTGACCCACCATAAATAAATATCTCCATATATCTCGACAATTACGCTACAATATTTATATATATGCCAAGCCTCAAATCAGTTTCACACAATTATAGTCACTAAATAAACGATCATGTTGTACTTAATACGCTATGACCATTAATCATGTATAAATAATAGACTGAAAACTGGTTCCAAGAGTCGTCCATAACATCCAGACACTTTTGAGTAAAAGATAGGTTACGTGCCCTTGTTTTGAAATTAGTCTCGCTTAACCAGTCTATCGACCATTCTACGTCTGATTGACAGGTCGGGATAATCAAGACTACTTTTTTACGAAACGTAACAGAAAGCTAGAACAAGAAATTGAATTTAGAAATAAGCACGTTAGGTAGCTCAACAATCGTTTTAAGAAGCTTGTAAAAGTAAACTGAAACTACTGCTAGTATCATGTTCCTGCCTAACCCGAGTGATTCAGATATATTATTTGTACTAAACCAAAAGATGCCGCTCTTAACGGTACAGTTAATGATAAAGCGATTTAAAAAATGAAACGAACGTAATTTCTAAATCTGCTGTAATAACCAAGAAGCTTAATTTAACTGCTATCCAAAATCGTCAACAATAAATTTTTTACGGCTGTAATAGTTGATAGATTTGTAGAGAATTGCACGTGCCATGGCTATTTATAGTATCAAACTGTCAGAAAGTTGGTCTCGGCACGGCGAATGTGCACGCTTCAGTGGTAGTCTCGAACTATCAGCGGTGGACTGTATTTCTGTGAGTACATGGGCCACCCTACACTTGTCGTTCCCTGTCATATTTGTTCATGGGTGGTTGGGTGGCCGAGTGGTCTGATTCATGCGCATTAAATCATACGGTCTGTCATTGAGTCGCGGAGGGGGGGGGCATGGTTTCGTATTGTTCATACATAAAAATATTTAACTTAAAATAAACAATCTGAGAGTCCTCGCTTTACACTTGCGGGATAGGGGATACGAAGGACCCCTTACCTTAACCTATAGCTACAGTCGGATAGGAAACCATATCTTCTTAGTAGGGTCGTAGTATGTCGTTATGAAAGCATGTTTATATTCGATAACCTTCAATACAAATATTAACCAAATGATCCGTGCGATCGCTCACTATCTAGAGGATCCGGGGTATTGTTCGAGTAAGTTTCCCGGGATTCTCCAGTGTAGTTCTCCATTGTCAGCAGTTCAGGACGGAGGATAATGTCTACTTGGTACAAATAAACAAGGCCCCGTGTACAACTTGGCATGCACGTAATCGAAGCATTGCCAGATGGAATTCAACTACTGTCCTGGCAAATGTCCCTTATAGCAAACTGATTGACGTACGCCCGTCTGTATTATCCAGGTTGGAGCAGAAAAGTTGGACGTTAAACCCCATTTAATTCATTCCCACTATGTGGGGTGGTACGGGAACTCTTTGAGAAAATGAAGTACTGGGGTGTTGTTTATATTCTCTGATAAAATGTCTTTACGTCACGTTAAAGAGCTTGATTTGTTATATTTATTTTTGAGATTGACCAAAGTGATGAAATATTTTAGTCGCTTGACCAAATAAAATTGAATATGGTACTTTGAAATAACATAAATTCAAAGAAAACGTAAAAAATTTGCACTGTTTGGCTGAGCTTTGTTTTCAATTTGAAAATAAATAAAACTTGGTAAATGTACGCAATATTGCTGTTAGGATGTTATATGTACATGACAACTGTACAACGAAAATCTGATTGGAACAACTACCAGAAACTCTCTCAAAACCACTACTTTATCAAATTTAATGTCAAGCAATAGAGCGATGAAGGCTTTTGCGAGTTATTGTTGCATAATACTGTAAATAATTGTTGTATAAAGGAGGGAAAAGAAAATGCTATTGTTATATTATAATGCTTGTTTTTATCATATACATGTATTTTTGGCAGATAAAAGATTCCAGTTTGCGGAACAAAAATCTGATCAACTTTGGCTGATAAAAATTGAAAGTAAGTGTATGCCATGTTTTAGTTAGGGTTCATTTTAATCAGCGTTTCCTATAGATTAGATCTTTATTAACGCAGTTGGTGCATAACAGTAATGTGTTCACTCCATTTCTTTTCCGAAAGCATGTTGTCAACATATATAGAACCTACATCAAATAGTTCAAAACAAATAACTCAGAGTGCATGCTCCTACCTGGTTCCTAGATATGGTCCGATCTTACCCCTATGGTTTTATCTATGCTATGCTATTAATATTATACGAAATGTAACACACGTAAAGAATTTAATGGTGTTGCCTACTGTGTTCCATAGTATTAAAAATAGTGCATGATTCATACGCCATTGGTTTCTATTTCCTTAACCGGTAATGTCTAGGTGACCGATATAAATCATATTTCAACCCAGGGGTAACCTTTTGAATCATATTGTAGTTTAATCTTGGTGAACTTTGTGAATCGTACGCATGTAGTCTAGGTGAAGTACATTTCAATCTTGGTGAAGTTTTAATACAATTAGGGAGTCTAGGTGAATCCGGGAAATAGATCTGTGACATGTGAAGGTTTTGTGTTTTCCGAGAATTTGTGTTCGGGTTTTAAATGTTTTAAAAAAAACCAAATTACGCGATTGGGATGGTGGAATTAAGACGGAGAATTAATCTGAATGCTAACCAGGAGGATTGATTGAATTAAAGCAACAGAGTATTAAATGCCGGAATGAACTGTAACTTTAAAGCATTTAATTTTGTAAAAACCTCTTAAATTTACGCCCCTGACAAGGGTTAAGTTCTTAAGCCGATGAAGTCTATTGACTTTCAACTATTTTGAAAATACATGTAATGACCTTTGATCACTTTGAAAAATCTAGTAATCATCCGATAGACTTGAAATTTATTTTCGGCATATTAATTATCAGCACTTTCCAAAATATACGTTCAGAGTTATCGACATCGACAAGAGTTGTAGATAATCAAGATTCTAGATTTTTCGAGTTCCTTATATTTATACACAGTAATAATGTTCATGAGATGAAGAAGCCTATATACCGTTGTTCACGTTTAAAAATCTTGTGGACTCTCTGGTGGTTAGTTATTTTCCGATTGATTTGGAATTAACACAATCTGTTCTATTTTAAGAAACCCGTTAATTTTCAGCGATTTCCGATTACAGAGTTATTACTATTTATTTTCCAATATATCTGAAATTAATACACAACGTTTTTCTTAAGAAATCTGTTAATTTTCAACGATTTCCTATAAGTCGAACATCTAAATTCATGATCGTTATAGGTACATTGAAATATGGTCGCATATTGTCGTCGCCCCCGTCCGTCCGCCCGTCCGTCCGTCGGTCCGGCGTCCACAATTGCCTGTTGACGCTCTAGAGGCCAAAGTTAATACCCGATTGACTTTAAATTTCTACACAGTATTTAAGGTGATGAGACGAAGAATCCTATTGATTTTCAGCGATTTCAGATAATTATTGCCAGAGTTATGGCCCTTGATCACTTTGAAAAATATTGTGGACGCTATAGAGGCTAAAGTTAATATCCGATTGACTCTAAATTTATACAAAGTGTTAAAGGGACAATAACACTCTTGCTGACTTGATAGCTCCAGTAAATAAATATTAGCCTTATTGTAAGTATTAGATGTTTAAGTGTCCTACCTGTTGTGTAGATTATCCATTACATCCTATTTTACTTGTCCAGAGGGTTCCTAAATATTTTAAAATCCAAGTCACATTTGAAAAGGTTTACGTTAGGCTTTTCAAATCATTTAGTTGAATTTTTCCATTTTTTTTTAAATTAGGTGTGTTAAGATGAAGCTTGTATCATCAATTAATTGGAATACTGTAAAATAGGACAATTTGTTGACCAGAATAAAGATTGGGACATATTATTCAGTTACAACAAGAGTGGTATTGAGCCTTTAAGGTCATGAGACGAAGAAGTCTATTCATTTTCAGCGATTTTCGATAATTACTGCCAGAGTTGTTGCCCTTGATCACTTCAAAAAATCTTGTGGGCACTCTACAGGCCAAAGTTAATATCCGATTGACTTTAAATTTATACAGTGTTTAAGGTCATGAGACGAAGAAACCTATTGATTTTCAACGATTTCCGATAATTACTGCCAAAGTTGTGGCCCTTGATCACTTTGAAAAATCTTGTTAGACTCTAGAGGCTCAAGTTATGATCCCATTGACTTCAGATTGATACAGAGTTTAAGATCTTGAGACGAACAATTATATTGATTTTCAATGTATTTTTATGACTTGAACAGCTAAATCCATGATATTAAAGTTTCGTATACTAAACGTTAGCATGGGACAGAACTTTATAAAAACCAAACAAATTCTAATGGTTTTCTGATAATTACTTCATAAGTTGTTACTCTTAATCAGATTTTAGTGTGTTATAAATGTTTCATTATCTAAAAAAGTAAAAATATGCTACAACACTTGTTGATTGCCCGGACGATTTAGCTGCTGTGGGCGTATGTTTCGTTGCCTGGCAACCTATGTTTTAGTGGAAATGTACACTTGTCGTTCCCTGTCATATTTGTTCATGGGTGGTTGGGTGGCCGAGTGGTCTGATTCATGCGCATTAAATCATACGGTCTGTCATTGAGTCGCGGAGGGGGGGGGGCATGGTTTCGTATTGTTCATACATAAAAATATTTAACTTAAAATAAACAATCTGAGAGTCCTCGCTTTACACTTGCGGGATAGGGGATACGAAGGACCCCTTACCTTAACCTATAGCTACAGTCGGATAGGAAACCATATCTTCTTAGTAGGGTCGTAGTATGTCGTTATGAAAGCATGTTTATATTCGATAACCTTCAATACAAATATTAACCAAATGATCCGTGCGATCGCTCACTATCTAGAGGATCCGGGGTATTGTTCGAGTAAGTTTCCCGGGATTCTCCAGTGTAGTTCTCCATTGTCAGCAGTTCAGGACGGAGGATAATGTCTACTTGGTACAAATAAACAAGGCCCCGTGTACAACTTGGCATGCACGTAATCGAAGCATTGCCAGATGGAATTCAACTACTGTCCTGGCAAATGTCCCTTATAGCAAACTGATTGACGTACGCCCGTCTGTATTATCCAGGTTGGAGCAGAAAAGTTGGACGTTAAACCCCATTTAATTCATTCCCACTATGTGGGGTGGTACGGGAACTCTTTGAGAAAATGAAGTACTGGGGTGTTGTTTATATTCTCTGATAAAATGTCTTTACGTCACGTTAAAGAACTTGATTTGTTATATTTATTTTTGAGATTGACCAAAGTGATGAAATATTTTAGTCGCTTGACCAAATAAAATTGAATATGGTACTTTGAAATAACATAAATTCAAAGAAAACGTAAAAAATTTGCACTGTTTGGCTGAGCTTTGTTTTCAATTTGAAAATAAATAAAACTTGGTAATTATGTACGCAATATTGCTGTTGGGATGTTATATGTACATGACAACTGTACAACGAAAATCTGATTGGAACAACTACCAGAAACTCTCTCAAAACCACTACTTTATCAAATTTAATGTCAAGCAATAGAGCGATGAAGGCTTTTGCGAGTTATTGTTGCATAATACTGTAAATAATTGTTGTATAAAGGAGGGAAAAGAAAATGCTATTGTTATATTATAATGCTTGTTTTTATCATATACATGTATTTTTGGCAGATAAAAGATTCCAGTTTGCGGAACAAAAATCTGATCAACTTTGGCTGATAAAAATTGAAAGTAAGTGTATGCCATGTTTTAGTTAGGGTTCATTTTAATCAGCGTTTCCTATAGATTAGATCTTTATTAACGCAGTTGGTGCATAACAGTAATGTGTTCACTCCATTTCTTTTCCGAAAGCATGTTGTCAACATATATAGAACCTACATCAAATAGTTCAAAACAAATAACTCAGAGTGCATGCTCCTACCTGGTTCCTAGATATGGTCCGATCTTACCCCTATGGTTTTATCTATGCTATGCTATTAATATTATACGAAATGTAACACACGTAAAGAATTTAATGGTGTTGCCTACTGTGTTCCATAGTATTAAAAATAGTGCATGATTCATACGCCATTGGTTTCTATTTCCTTCTCGGTAGGCGTGTGAACGTAAGTAATTCACTTATTTTGTAACGAATTCATGTTTATCGGACAAGTTCTTCCACCAGAGGGTATCGCATTAACACACAACAAGATGAATTAACAACAGGATTTTGGCCATAAACATATTTAATTAACTACTCTTAAGAGCGCACTGTATACAAAGTAGTCTGGTGGACTATGGGGAGTGTCGCCACGCGAGAGGAGAATTTATGAGACCAAGCCCCATGTTCACAAAGCAGTCTCATACTCATACTTAAGTTAAAAATTTACTCAAAATTGTTTGCCTTATTTTAACTAAAATATAGCCCTTTATAAAACTTTTGTTGTTTTAATGTATCAAATGTATTTAATGTAAGAAGCTATGTCCAAATTTGTGTGTTTCTTGATCAAAGATATTTCGGTACTATTTCAGTAACGTACCTCTACCAGTTCCTGTGATCGTAGAGACTTGAAATTTTCAGGGGGTGTTCACAGGGACTAGCCATGACCTCACACGAAATTTCAGCCGAATCGGTCAATAACTGTTTATTTTACTGTAGTTTAGCTTCTATAAGAGATACATTTATCCGATTTTGACGCCATTTTGTTTGTTGACTATTTAGGCTCGAATGACGTCATATGTGGATTGTGGGTTAGGATAAGGGTTAGGGTAAGGGCTAGGACCTGTAGATTTCGTCATAGTCTCAAGATGTAGACGGCGCTATTGCACTTTCGTACCTCTACCAGTTCCCGTGGTCGTAGGAACCTGAAATTATTAGAGGATGTTAAGGGGGACTAGCAATGACCACACACCAAATTTCAGCCGAATCGATCAATAACTTTTTATTTTACTGACCTTTTAATTTCTAACGAGAGAGAACTTCATCTGTTTGACGCCATTTGCTTTGTTTACTATTTAGACTCGAATAACAAGACACTAAGACGGAAACCGACACACTGCACTAGCTGCCTATCTCTGCAGTTCATAAAAATTAATATAATTTTCGTATACTTTAATTTTTGCGCGAAGCCACCATGTTCTATAAAATACTATTTGGTGTTGATCAGTGGATTGGCCTTTAGGTGTAAATATTGCCGTGACCTTGATTTTGACCTTGAGTCTTAACTTCCCATCCATATCAGGGCCTTTGCGTTTATGATTGCCGTGGCCTTATTTCGTACTGTATTTTCAAAGTTAATGTTCGAGGTGAAAGCAGAGACGACGTCCTTCAGAAAAGATAATTGGGTCAAAGTCGTAGGTCAAGGTCATAATACAGAAAACTAAACTCAAACTTTTCAAAGTCATTTTTTGAACATTTGACCTTGACTTACGACCTTGACCCTGTAACCGTTTTCGAAGGCTATCATCTTGGCTTGAATCATGGACGTTTACCTTGGTTCTGTCCCACACTGCTCGGTCAGAAAAGGGTCAAACGCAGAGGGGCCGTGTCCGAAAGGAAGTCAATGGGCGTGGTCAATGTGAAAGGTCGTGGTGACCTCCACTAGTCACCGTTAACCATCCGTGACCTTGACCCTGACCTAGTGTCCGAACTTCCCATCCATCTCGGGCCCTTTGCGTTTATGCGTGCCGTGACCTTATTTCTTACTGTATTATCAAAGTTAATGTTCGAGGTGAAAGCAGAGACGGCGTCATTCAGAAAAGATAATTGGGTCAAAGTCGTAGGTCAAGGTCATGTTACAGAAAACTAAACTCAAACTTTTCAAAGTCATTTTTGGGACAGGGCCAGGGTAAACGTCGATGGTTCAAGCCAAGATGATGGGCTTTGAAAATGGTTACGGGTCAAGCTCGTAAGTCAAGGTCAAATGTCCCAAAACTGACCTTGAAAAGTTTGAGTTCAGTTTTCTATAACATGACCTTGACCTACGACTTTGACCCAATTATCTTTTCTGAGGGACGTTGTCTTTGCTTTCACCTCAAGCATTAACTTTGATAATACAGTAAGAAATAGGGTCACGGCAAGCATAAACGAAAAGGGCCCGAGATTGATGGGAAGTTTGGACTCAAGGTCGAAGTCAAGGTCACGGATGGTTAAAGGTGACTAGTTGAGGTCACCACGAACTTTCACATTGACCACGCCCTTTGACTTCCTTTCGGACACGGGCCCCTCTGCGTTTGACCGTTTTCTGACCGAGCAGTGTGCGACAGGGCCAAGGTAACCGTCGATGGTTCAAGCCACGATTATGGGCTTTGAAAATGGTTATGGAATCAAGGTCGTAAGTCAAGGTCAAATGTCCCAAAACTGACTTTGAAAAGTTTGAGTTCAGTTTTCTGTAACATGACCTTGACCTACGACTTTGACCCATTTATCTTTTCTGAAGGACGTTGTCTCTGCTTTCACCTCAAGCATTAACTTTGATAATACAGTAAGAAATAGGGTCACGGCAAGCATAAACGAAAAGGGCCCAAGATTGATGGGAAGTTTGGACTCAAGGTCAAAGTCAAGGTCACGGATGATTAAAGGTGACTAGTGGAGGTCACCACGACCTTTCACATTGACCACGCCCATTGACTTCCTTTCGGACACGGGCCCTTTGCGTTTGACCCTTTTCTGACCGAACAGTGTGCGACAGGACCAAAGTAAACATCGATGGTTCAAGCCAAGGTGATAGCCTTCGAAAATGGTTACGAGGTCAAGGTCGTAAGTCAAGGTCAAATGTCCCAAAACTGACTTTGAAAAGTCCGAGTTTAGTTTTTCTGTAAGATGACCTTGACCTACGACTTTGACCCAAGTATCTTTTCTGAAGGACTTCGTCTCTGCTTTCACCTCGAACATTAACTTTGATAATACAGTTAGAAATAAGGCCACGGCAAGCATAAACGCAAAGGGCCCGAGATGGATGGGACGTTTGGACTCAAGGTCAGAGTCAAGGTTACGGATGGTTAACGGTGACTAGTGGAGGTCACCACGACCTTTCACATTGACCACGCCCATTGACTTCCTTTCGGACACGGACCCTCTGCGTTTGACCGTTTTCTGACCGAACAGTGTGCGACAGGACCAAGTTAAACGTTCATGATTCAAGCCAATGTGATAACCTTCGAAAATGGTTACGGGGTCAAGGTCGTAAGTCAAGGTCAAATGTCCCAAAAAATGACTTTGAAAAATTTGAGTTTAGTTTTCTGTAACATGACCTTGACCTACGACTTTGACCCAATTATCTTTTCTGAAGGACGTCGTCTCTGCTTTCACCTCGAACATTAACTTTGATAATACAGTAAGAAATAAGGCCACGGCAAGCATAAACGCAAAGGCCCCGATATGGATGGGAAGTTTGGCCTCAAGGTCAAAATCAAGGTCACGGCAATATTTACACCTAAAGGCCAATCCACTGATCAACACCAAATAGTATTTTATAGAAAATGGTGGCTTCGCGCAAAAATTAAAGTATACGAAAATTATATTAATTTTAATGAACTGCAGTGTTAGGCAGCTAGTGCAGTGTGTCGGTTTCCGTCTAAGTGTCTTGTTATTCGAGTCGGTTTCCGTCTTAGTGTCTTGTTATTCAAGTCTAATTAGTAAACAAAGCAAATGGCGTCAAACGGATGAAGTTCTCTCTCGTTAGAAATTAAAAGGTCGGTAAAATAAAAAGTTATTTATCGATTCGGCTGAAATTTGGTGTGTGGTCATTGCTAGCCCCCCTTAACATCCTCTGAAAATTTCAAGTGCCTACGACCACGGGAACTGGTAGAGGTACGAAAGTGCAATAGCGCCGATGTAGACAGGGCTAGCCCTAACCCTAACCCTGTCTTGTTATTCGAGTCTAAAAAGCCAACAAACAAAATGGCGTCAAACTCGGATAAACTTTCTCGTTATAAGCTAAACTACGGTAAAATAAAAAGTTATTGACAGATTCGGCTGAAATTTGGTGTGAGGTCATGGCTAGGACCCATGAATACCCCATGGGAACTGGTAGAGGTACGTTACTGAAATAGTACCGATATTTCTACTCTAGTTAGTACCGTAGTAATAAACAGTGAGAGTAAATTTAAGTCTGAGAATGCTTTGTGAACTCGAAGCCAAGTATTTCTAGAGCAGTTTTTTCTTTTCGTAGATTACCCAAAACAACCTGTATTTTGAATAAAAACAACACATTTTTATGATTTTTTCTTTCTTTTTGCTTAGTAGGCCAGGGTCGTTTCTATGGAAGACCAAACAGCCATATTCAGTCTGTCAGTGCTCTTATTTTTTTAGTTCTTAATTCATATTCAGGCCCGTAGCCAGCAAGGGGTGGGGGGGGCAATGCCCTCCTGAAAAAAATGTTTCCCCCCCCCCCCCCCGAAATTTTTTTTGCCGACCATAACTCTAAAATACCTACTGTAGACTGAGCCGGGTGTGCCCCCCCCCCCCCTAAAAACTTCACTTTCGAAATTTGATACTAAAATTAACATTTGTTTCTTTAAATAAATATGTGTTTTACAAATCAGATATTTGTCATATCAGATTTGTAAATTGTATTCTTGCTTTATTAAATTCTATTTTAGAAATCAAAAAAATTACATTTACATTTCACCAGAAACATACACGAAAAACAAATCTCGAACCTACTACGATAACAATAAGAGTTGTCTTTCTTGCTTTGATCTTCCATCTATTTCTGGGAGATTTTTTTCAGGACTATTAAAAAAAGAGTAAAGGTTAGGGAATATTAAACATCTATACATATAAAAAAAAGAGAAAAAACAATAGAGATGTGTTGTTTTGTTCAAAATATCAAAATACAGGTTGTTTTGGGTAATTAAAGTTGTTATGGGTAGTTTTGGGTAAATCTATGGACCCTATTCTAGGTGATAATCACTGATCGGGTGTTTGTGGGGTGGTAGTCAGGCCCACCCACCCCCGATTCGGTGAACTGTCCATTATCGGTCGATGTGTTTCCGTTTTTCGGGCACAAACCTCAGAGAATGGGACCATATTTCATAGAAAAAAAGTTGTATAATGGTAAAATGAAATCGCTGTAACACCTAAGACCCCGCGCACCTCACCCCACCCAACTGGGATTGACCCCTTATGTCTATGATGACAAACTATTTAACATAACAAAAACGGTGTCAACTTTTTGTGATAAGATCATTTATTTGAAGTTTTTGTCAGTTACGGCGCGCTTAAGCTGACTGGGTAACTAATCATATTTTATTATTAAATATTCAAAGGTTTAATACTTTATTCATTTCTTTGTGCTCAACTTCAATAGATCACAATATCATTTAACTACTTATAAAAACATTTGTTTATACAGTAACCTACTTGAATACACCCTAATTGTATGTTATGAATAATACTGTATTTTGAAATATTGCTTTACCAAGCTTTTTGAGAGATTCTTAGAATCGTTTAAGTGAACTAGGCCTAATCACTTTATGAAACTGTAAACAAGTATTAATTTTGCATGTAATTCCCCATGTGTCAGTGAATCAACTTCTCATATAAACTTCCAAGAATTTTTTGGTCGGCTTCCCATACAGTATAATTGAAATGCAAAAGCCACACCTTTATTTTAAATAGCCCGTGTGCTATAAGTTCACCCTGCGTTTATTGAATCCACAAACTTCGCCTCGAATCCGGGTGCCGGGAACTTTGCGGTAATATAACTCGATAATGCGGCATAGAAAAGTTAATGAACTTTGGCATATTCTATCTACGTAATCTGGTAATGTGAAGATATAAACATCTCAGAGCCACCAAAGCTAGTTTCGAAGTTATTGTGTGCTCAGTGAGCCAACCCTAACCAGAGTCTCCTATATTTTTAGAATGTTTACGGTAATATATGTCGTCAGTAGAACATATTTTACTTGTCTATTATATATATACATTAATATGTCTTAAAATTTTATTTTCTAATGTAAAGGTTACAATTATTATCGTAATAAATATATATATATACTATTAAAAAAAAGTAGGGGATATTTGAATTTGGGGGCATAATACTAAAATATGCAAATGACTACGAAAAAAGTCACTATAGAACCTAACAGAAGAAACATTTCCAGTTACATGTGACGCCCAAACGCACCAATAGCTACCGCATGGAATGCAGGTGATGCTTGGGATCATCATGGGGGTCCAACCCAAGATTTGCACGACTCTGACTTTGAATGTTACAGTCATTGTGGCATTGAATTCCAGGGTGGAAACATCAGTTTAATTGTTTTAGTGACCAGAAAACAAATTTTGATATGCGTCGGCTTACCCAAAATGAAAGGTTACGTGCCCTTGGCATGCTACAGATCGGCACAACACAGGCGGTTGTGGCGCGGACGATGAATGTTTCTCAGTCTGTCATAAGCAGGCTATGGTCCAGATACCGTGATACACAATCTGTACAGGACAGACCACGCTCCGGTCGACCAAGGGCGACAACTCAAGCCCAGGATCGATTTATCCGTACCTTGGCCTTGAGAAATCGTGTCATCACAGCAAATCAGATCAGCGCTCGTCTTCAAACAGACACTGGTGTGAGAGTGAGTAGCCAGACGATTCGGAATCGACTGCATAGGGGTCACCTTCGCGCCCGACTTCCTCGCGTGATCGCTTGTTTGAGAGATCATCATATTCAGGCAAGACGTCGTTGGTGTAGGGATCGTCAACACTGGGATAATCGACGCTGGAGCAATGTGATGTTTTCAGATGAGTCAAGGTTCACTGTTGATTTTTTGGACAGACGTAGGAGGGTGTGGCGTCGTCGAAACAAGCGCTTCCAAGACGTTAACGTCATCAGACATGATCGATTTGGGGGTGGTTCTGTTATGGTGTGGGGAGGCATCACTGTTGCTGGAAGAACGGCTTTACATGTTGTTGCAGGGCGTGTTACAGGCCAGTACTACCGGGACAACATCTTGGCAGTTCATGTTGGGCCGTTCGCACGACGTCATGGCCGCCGTTTCATCTTCCAGGATGACAACGCAAGATGTCACAGGGCCAGGATCGTTACAGGTTACCTCCAACAACAGAACATCACCACATTACCTTGGCCAGCACTGAGTCCCGACCTCTCCCCCATCGAGCATGTCTGGGACATGCTTGGACAGAGGTTACGTCAACGTCAACAACGTCCTGCCAATGTCCAATGTGGAGTATGCCACGTCGGATCAATGCTTGTTTGGCAAACAGAGGAGGATTTACCCGTTACTGACTTGGTTGTGATGCTGTGGTAACTTTGCTGTTTGACCCCGGGTATCATTTTACCCTTATAATGGTCAGTCTGTGCCTTACTTAGTCTAACGATCATTTGGAATAAATCGATGAATGTGAACTTCATTTCATTTTGTCATTTGTTTCTTCGTCAGTTTCATTAGGTGACTTTAATAACACTTAAAAATCAAATATCCCCTACTTTTTTTGAATAGTAAATATAGGTTTATAGTGGCGGTAGGAATATGTTTGCTAACTTCATTTCGAATCCAGGTGCTGGAATACTGGACGGTAACAGCATACTAAGATTGACTATTATTTTAGCAAAAGTTGATCCGTGTGGTTTTTTTTAGGAATCATAGATGGCTGCACGCTTCATTCTTCCACGACTGCATGTTAGGGGTTCCCCGCTAAATACATGCGTGGGCCGCGGTCAGTTCGACGTTAACTTGCTAACCTGGATCTGTGTGTATCGTAAGACGACATTTTAGCGCGACTCTCTTTTATTCCTCAAAAGAAGTTTATTGGGTGGGGCCTGGGGGTATATTGAAAATGACCCAGACCGTCCGTCCCACTTATGTTTTCGGAGCATATCCTATTAATCGTTTTTGGGGGGTTTTTTTGTTTCCATGGAAACAAATTGGGCTAAAGTGTTTGGTATACAATTTTAATTCTGGGGCATATCTCATAAACCGTTGAATATGTCAATATATGAGTGGTTTCTATCCAAGGCTTGAACGGGACACGGGTTCTATCTTATGCCTAACCTTGTAGGTCTCCCTCCCCCCTCTGATAAAGTTTCCTTGAAGAAGCGAAATGTTGAAATACCATACATTAGTCCCCAAATGACCTAGTTTGTAGTTCAATTCATCGCTCTAATTTCCGGGATATTCACATTTTAAAAAAAATTAAATAAGTTTAAAAATGAATAATTGTAGAATATTATATGATTAAATAAAATATTTATTTACTTACTACATGTAATTAATTACATTTCAGATGATGGGAGTAATATTTTCAAAATGGATCCTGCTGCAAGGCAGGGGATATGGCTGTTTGTAGAAAATATTTACCATACTTGTTGCAAAGTTGTGCTCTACCTAGATGTGCTCTATTGTACATTTACAATCATCGGAGAAGGAAACAGCATACTATCTCATTCAATATTCTACAGAATTGCTTTAACTTAGATATATATTTATTCTGCTTAGCGTGTAATGGTTTTCACAAACTTTGTTCTATATTTCATTATCATAATATATATGTGTGTATATATATGGTAATTTTAATATTTTCAATAATACAACCTAGAAATCTTCAGATTAAACACAAAGATCGACATAAACATTATATAACATTAAATAGTAGCGTGTATTGTATTTTTACATCTCATAGAAAAACCAAAAGACGAAAACATTTTCAAATATTAAATAGTAGCGTGCATTGTATTGGTAACTTTATCACGACATATAGTCGTGTGTTTATATCTCATAGAAAAACCAAAAGACGAAAACATTTTCAAACATTAAATAGTAGCATGTATTGTATTATTAACTTTATCACAAACTATAGAATAGAAGTGTGTTAATATCACATAGAAAAAAAAAAAAAAAAAGAAAACATTTTATAATTTTATAACATTAAATAAAAGTGTTTATTAAAAACATTAACTTTATAACCTGTATTATATTCATACAATATCAGAAATGGCAGTGTATCTATCATTTAATTCATCAGAATAAAAGTAAACATATTTCAAAGTGCAAGAGTTATTAAGTGTTAAGCATTTTTAAATTTAAAAGCATATCTTTGCTATACATATTAATTACAATATGATTACGCGGCTAAGTCAAACATTAACCATAGAAACCATAAAACAGGGTATTAGTGGTGATGTACAACCAACTTCAGATTGTATGAAATATGAATGGATGAGACTAGGTTCTTTCAAATTATTTCCTAGACAATCTGAAGGAAGGCCGATAAAATTAGCTAAAGCTGGGTTTGTCTTTACCGGTACCAGAGAAGATGATGCTGTCACGTGTTTTACATGTGGTGTTACTAAAAATAACTGGCGTAAATATGAAGACCCTCTTCAAGTTCACAAAGATCTGAATTCAAGATGTAATTTTGTAAACAATATATCTATAAATGTCAGCATCGTAGTTCCAGAACCGATTGTCTATGGCAAAATTTTGGAGACTCTGCATGAAACGTACTGTAGTGGAAACAGGGGGGAGAACTCGCGCAGTACATCTCCATTCTCTACAGGTATCAACACTGGAATAACGGACCCAACAATAAGACAAACATATGGTATTCCATTAGAAAGACAAGATACAAACCAGGCAGTACAAGTCACTGACGATGGAATGGGAGCAGATGTTAGTAGAATGGTACCCAATCAATCCATGAGGTAGGAGATTATTTAATTTGTCTGTTATATATTAAATGTTAAGATAACAAGGGCTAGCTTCTTAATTTGTTATGCTTTTGACGGAGTCCCTGAAGAGCTTGTTAGAAGAAATGTTAAATGTTGCCGAACAAACTTCTTATTTATATCGATTTCACTCTGTTTACTTTCAGTTCTGCTAGTGTTGTATTAACGGGTGACTCTAACAGACAAACTATGGTAGTAGAAGAAGCAAGATTAAGAACATTTCAAAACTGGCCAAGATATTTGACTGTTAGACCGATTGAATTAGCACGAGCTGGATTCTATTATCTTGGTTCTGCTGACCGGGTACAGTGTGCCTTCTGTAGAGGTATTTTGAGGGACTGGGAAGAAGCAGAAAGTCCAGTCGCTGAACACTGGAGATATTTTTCCAGTTGTGAATTCTTGAGAGGAACCGACCAATCTAATGTTCCGATTATACCAAATGATAGTTATATACATGATTATGTATCAACTCATCCACTGAGTTCTACAGATGAAGATGTTAGAGCAGCTCTTAATCCACTATCAACTATCTTAAAAAATGGAAATTTAAACCTAGTTCAAAGTGATGCCCCAGCAACCGCAGAAGATTTAGGTATCATCACTCAAACAGCTTCCCAACCAGATAAAGCTATACTCGCTACTCGAGTGGCAACATTTGCTAATTGGCCGAGAAGATCGCCATTGCCCAGCAAAGAACAGATTGCTGAAGCTGGATTTTACTACCTTGGTAGGCATGTTAAAGTTTATTAACCAAGTAACATATTGTCGATGCTGAAAATTGTGGTGTAAATCCATCCTTGATTTTCAACACATATTTAGAAATGGGCAGTCTCATGTATAAGATTTATTATCTTATTTACGTTGATAGTTCTCCAGACAAAGATATTATACAATATCAACACACTTGTCCACATTGCTAGTTTGGGATCAAATACTGCGTTAAAGATACAAATAAAAAATTACAATCTAAAACAAATACACGCAAAACATGTACTTGGATTGTGTGAGAAGAGGAGCACTCTGCTCTCAGTAAATATTTGCAGTACCTATGGGCTATTAAGTGCTCTGAATACACTATCTATTGTCTAGTAAGATTAGCCTCAATAACAGCCAATATTAGTAGCGAAGGGAAACTTCTAAGAAACTTGGAGGACGTTTGCAAATATTCCTCGAACTCTGGTGTCACAGTACAGCCCTCAATGTGTATAAGGTATCGCAGACAAGAAATATCTCACCCAGAGTTCAAGGTGTGTGTGATGATCAGAGATACCAGCGATGGCATTCCAGGAGCATCTACTTGTCAAAACGCTGTTGTCCTCAGGGCCGAACACAGTCTATAACATTTCCTGAAATGTGCAATTTCATATACATATACATTGTATAGCACAACCTGTCACATGCTCGATTTTGAACCCGGTAAGTAGTGATATAGAATCTGTGATGTCTTCAAAACATCTAAAATAAGACCGTCAAAATTGTGTTATGACATAGGTAGTAATTGTTGTTTATATATTATACCATAAATATTCTACTTTATTTTCAGACCGAGAAGATGCAGTAAAATGTTTCTTTTGTGGTGGTGTTTTAAAATCCTGGAGAGATGAGGATATCCCATGGAAAGAACATGCAAAATGGTTTCCTAAATGTGCATATTTACTGAGGATCAAAGGTCAAGAATTTGTGGACACTATACATCAACCTGGTACCGGTACGGCAAAGGTAAGATAAGGGATGGGTACAAGATAGGTTATTTCATACAAAGGGGTATCAGCATGCCATATCTATCGATACAGTGTTGCTCTTTTACAGCAATTCAAGTTTTCTTTATGAATTTTATTGTTCATGCTATAATCACTATACATGTGATCTGATCGCCGTCCTGGTTATGTTTATATTGTAAATATAACATTACTAGTAATGTGTGATACAGCCGCTTTGATTTGGGTCAGCAATAAAATTGTCCGTTTCACTAGATTTGTATTTGGAATAACAATCTATGTTCATTGACAGTTTTATGTTGATCAAGCCAGTTTTGCTATGCAATCCATTTTACCGTTCTGTGTTACACTGTAAGTCAAATTACAAACCAAAAGACGTCTACTTCCGCTTCATCATTGGAAACAAGAATTTAATGTATAGAGCCAAGCCCATCACTAATAGAAATAATAGACCAACCCTGTTTCTTGGCCTAAAATAAAGAGGCGTGTTTCATTTTAATCTTTGTGGGGGGCTATTTATTGTTTGACTTGATATTTTCGCCAGTGATTAAAGTTTTCTATATATAATAATTTAATTAATTTTTATACCTTTGAATATTATTTTAGGTTGTAGGAACTAATGGTTCTGTGGGTGCTACAGGTCAGTAATAAAATATAGTCTAGTATCTAGTACATACTATTAATTATCAAACTCTCAAGGACAACATAGTCAGATAAGATTATTTGAACTCCCCATAAATGCTATATATAAGAAGATTTAATGAATGAATGTAATTATGCAGTAATTTTAGAATCCAAGCATTGCATACAGCACGATGTATGTGTTATAATATTTTGTTCAACCTCTGTGCTCATAACTTTTACATTATATTAGTCGTACGTGAAATGGGTTTTGTAGAGTGCGTGTCTGATTTTACATCCAGAAGACTAATAAAATCATGCCATTTCTCAATATGATTTTCAGGTAATAAACGAAATGCTATTGATGTTCAAAGGATACTCAATCTTCCAATGGTGAAAACTGTGTTGGAATTACAGGTTGATAAAGCTAATATAATAAAAGCCATAGAAAACAGACTGAGAAATCAAGGTAATTTATGTACTATTGCAACATATACAGACATCGCGACATAAAACATTAAATGTTTCGAATGCCGATATTATAATATCCAGAGCCACCACACCAAAACATGACCAAGGGTACATCAATCCAATTGTTACGGTTTAAGATTTCGCCCATTTGTGTTTCAGGTCAACTTTTTACGGACAGTTCTGAACTGCTTAATGCAGCGTTAGATATGGAGAGTGGGGTTAAAAAAAATGGAAATGTGATAAAAACGGGACAACCAGTTGTCACCCATAAGGATCATCATGTGGCCAATGGTATCCTGGCTGCTGATGAAGCGGCACCAGCAGAACAGCAAGCATCTGAAGCAGCAGCTAGAGCAGGAACCGATGCTATTCCACAACCAGGAGAAGGTGAAAATCAAGGTACTGAGATTTAATATAACAAACTCTTTACATAATTGATTACCCAATGTTTCTATTGATATTAACAAATTTTCTGATCAAGTCAGTTGTTTCTTATGTCTTTTTAATTTGTTCCACAAATTACATAGTTATGATTAAGCCGCATATTATTTTTTTGTGTTTGTAAATTTACTGCCCTTAAACATACATTATGCAAGAGCAAAATTAGCAAAATTATTAATTAGACATTAATTAACTCATCCAGGTCATAATCAACTCTCGATGGTATCGGATTTCTCCGATATTAAATAGATTAGAACAGTTCAGTCATATTTTGATTTAAGCTACAATTGCAAGAGCGAGACTTAGCTTCGAACAACCAGTGCGGTTATTGAAATTATTGCACACGTCTTGTCAAATCTTCAAAGGCTAATATCTCGCAATAGAGTAATTGGAATTAATTTTACATTATCTATTTTCGAACTGTTATACCAAGAATGGCTAGCTCTTTATCTAAATCTTACATTATATATCTTTAATTATTCAAACTGATGATTAAACAGAAAGTCACCAGAAAGTATTAAATGCAAATTAATACATCTCCTGACTCTTTGATATTATTCAATTATTTACAGAATCATCCCAGCTACTGCGAGAAAATGAAGAACTGAAAGAACAGCGATTGTGTAAAATCTGCATGGATGCTGAATCTAATATTGTTCTTCTTCCTTGTGGCCATCTGGTTGCATGTGAATTATGTGCCCCTGTTTTAACAAAATGTCCGATGTGTCGTAAAGAAGTGCGTGGAAGCGTCAAAACTTACTTGTCTTAAACATGGGTTTCGAGTGAAGAAAGTTTGATAATGCTTCACTGGAAATAGGCGTACCCTCTCTAGATATTTCATCTTCTAACAGCTCTTTCTTCGTCGGTGACGGTATTCGTGGTACTGTTAAATATGGCGAAACAGGCTAACACAAGGTCGGGTCGAAAAAAACGTAGCAAACAACAAACAAAAAACAAAAAACAGCAGATGTGTCAACTACAAAATAGTAGAACGAAACAGTAGAACTCAAACAGAGAGAGAGAGAGAGAGAAATGGGGTTTAACGTCCACTCGACACAAACTAGGTCATTTCGGGACTAACATGTGGTTTTATTTTATTTCAATAATTCGCTTGCGCGTAGGGGTCTTTAGCAGTGGGAGGAAACCGGAGGACCCGGAGAAAAAACCCACGAGGTTGGACAGGCGACCCTACTCCTTGCCACGTACAAAGAACTCAAACAACTTGACCCACAGTGTCTTATCTATCAAGAAGCAATTCTGCCAAGAAAAAAAGCACACGAAGTATGAGCAAAAATCACTCAAAACGAGGCCAAGAAGTTCATGCTCGGAATGAAACGGTATGTCTGCGCCTTCTCACATGGTTTTGGAGTGACGTAACTATGATGGTGTAGAATTTTATTTAACCTGTTTTTGTGCCGACTGTACCGTGAAATGCGATGTTTGTGATAAATCTTTAATGTTTATCTTTATCTGGTTACGTCTTATGGCATTGGTCGTCTAAATTATTTTATAAATATACATTACAAGTATTGCTGTGAATAAATTTTATAAGAGGAGATTTAAGACATAGTTATTTATCTCCTTTATATGAATTGAATATTAACTCAATACATGCTGTGACTTTATCTTGAAATGTTTGCGTATGTGGTAGTTAAAAAGTGTTTCACAAAAACATTTCCAGTTATGACCCAGGCGTGTTGATTAAATAGAGGATATTTGTCGTTTTAGAGTGAATAACATGTTTTATTTCATCGAGAAGCAAGAAAACTTATATTTTCACGAATGCGTATTTATTTTATGATTTTACAATCATTTTAGGTAAAAACAACATGGACTACTTTGTCCGCTTGGAGCCAGTGGAATAACACTTTTATTTCACTGATAAAATGCGGTATTCCACTACTGATCATAAAATAAAAGATATTACACTATTGTACTCGCCTGTAAACAGATAATATGTGACATTATGCCATATAATCTGTAATCTATCACATCGTCTGAGAACTCTGACCCGACGTTTGTCAAATGTGGTATGTAATTTTAAAAAAAAAGAAACTGGATGACTTAGAATCGTGAAATTTGGTAATATCAAGGTAATGGTCGCGTATTGTGAGTACAGACTCTTAATTTCGAACCATTTTGTATGTATGTTAAAAACACTTGAGACGAAGTGTCAGGTCATTTTGCGACTGTCTGTTGTCATTGACATATGTCAGTAGCATAGGTTTAACTGAGCTTATTATTTGATGACTTATCTATCGTTAGAATGACCGACCTGGTGTGTTGAAGGACAGCAATGTAACCCTATGTGAAGAAGAAATACGGAACACGAATACAGCAGACATAGAAACTATATCAATTACTGGAGTGCTGATATTGGCTTGAAATATTAGAATACACGGTAAATGAATAGTTTATTCCTGCTGAATAAGTGCTGTACACGGAAGAGAAGCTCGACAAGAATCCCACATAAAATTACGTGAAAAATGAAAAAAAGGTTAGTTAAACAGGTCTTAAGGCCTGAAATGTTATCTTAATTGTTAATTAGATATTATTTAATTCACTCAGACCATAATCAACTCTCAATGCCATCGTTAGCCCGCGATATTTAGTCGATTTGAATACATTTTGTGGTGGATAATTTAACGTAAAAAATGGATAATCGAGACTTTGTTTATTATCGTAATGATGTTTTGGGCGAGCCGAAAATTGAATCACTAATATCTCGGTTTAGAGTGAAGCAATTTGACTGAAATTTTCAGCATATTCTATTTACATTATCTATTTGTTAACTATTATAGCGAGAACTGTCAACTCTTTATCTAATCTTATCTAACGTTCCGTCACGAAATTATTATTCAACATAAGCAAAACACTGAAATATAATCAAATCAGTTGGACTATTTGGGCTAACTTAATTTCTGGACTGTAATTAGCTGATACAATTATATTTTATTTATGTGGCCAATAGTTGACACGTCTTTATTCACTTTAAATCGAATTGACCTAGATCCCGTGACAGCAAATTATCGGAATAAATATGGAGGGGCGGGTATTTATGGATTTTTGTTGCATAAGCTGTACAGGCCAAACATGTTAGGAAGGGTTAATGTTGATATTTATTCATGGTTTGAATATATTATATATATTCGGAGTTCACATACATCAGTATTCTATTAACATGTATATTATTTTTGCTAGTTTATATGTTTTAAAATATATTTTAAAAATACGATATGACCTTTTTTTGTTTATACTATCATCCGAGTTATCATCAATAAAGAATTCATTTTTTATTCCATTCATGTTCGTTTTCATGCCTTACTTCGTGTCAAGATGACGCTTTATATAATATATGCTTACACCAGGCATCGAAACCACGACCGCAAGCCAAACATGACCGAGAGAGAGAGAGATGGGGTTTAACGTCCACTCGACACAAACTAGGTCATTTCGGGACTAACATATGGTTTAATTTTATTTACATAATTCGCTTGCGCGTAGGGGTCTTTAGCAGTGGGAGGAAACCGGAGGACCCGGAGAAAACCCACGAGGTTGGACAGGCGACCCTACTCCTTGCCACGTACAACCGGGGATTCGAAACCACGCTAGTCGACTCAATGACAGACTTTATGATACAGCGCGCGCACGCTAACCATTCAGCCACCCAACCCCCCCAAACATGACCGACCAGCTAGAGCTCGAAGCGCGACACCCTTAGCCACCAGGCCATTCCAACCCGCCTAGGGTGACTATTCGTTCGTTCCCTTGGTTTAACATCCACATTCAAGTTATTACGTCATTACAGTCACTTATGGTTTAGATTTATGTTAGAAATGAACATAGTATGGTGATGATTTATAATAACCCCACGGGCAGCGCTGTATTAACCATTGTGGGTGCCTTGTGACCTTGAACATGTGCACCCCCCCCCCCAACACAAGTGTTCAGAACTTAGGCAGTATTATTCCACACACACGAATGTAATTGCATCAAACCTAACTTGGTGTCGGTCAGTGATAGTGGTTGGGGGGAGGGGGCTCAAGTCATAACCCGCGAAAGCCGTAAAGTTTCTGCGTAGTAAACGAAGGGAGTTGATTTTTGACATGGCTGACCCAAATTTAAATGCGTTTTGTAGTCTATACAGAAATTACACAGATTATACACACCATATTATCAAATAAATATAGTCTTGGGGCTAAACGTCGAAGAATACGAGTCCAGAAACCAACGTTCCTCGATTCACTGGCAACAAAAAGAGAAAAGTATGTCCAGACAATGACATTTTTGACAGATTCTGCATTGAAAACTCAAATATAAATGGGTTCAAAATTCCATCTCCTAGTAGCACAACATGTAACTAAAATATTGCAGCTAAAAATGATTTTAATGCGTTTTCTTGATACACTTTTCCCGCTAAATAAACAACAAATACACTGTCGAGAATTTTGAAAATCCGATGGAGGACCTCGTAGAGTCCCCTCACTGCCACTAGCAGATGTAGTCCTCGGCCCGACCATGCTCACATCGCTTTTCCCGCAACTGAGATTTTTTATATGGGGCCCCCTAATGTCGGAAGACCTGGGGCCTGGGTCCCACCACCGTTGTTAATCCGACCCTGCCCACGGGCCATGTAGGATGAACTGAGTCAACCCGCAGTCATAGAATGTAAATGCTGAACTTTATATGCGGATTTTTTTTGGTGAATTTATATCTATGTCACGAGATACTTCTGGAGCAAACTTGTTTTAAAATTATTGCAAATTCCATTTTACTCTACCTTCTTAAGGAGTGTTTGAGAAATGCTGAAAATCACTTGGCATATTACTGGTTTGCCAGGCAGATCTTGCAAATGCTGATTGTCTCCCTTTGATGATCATAAACACTATCAACATCGCCCGTCTGCACATCTGTTACAAATTCTTGTTAACGAAAGGGGTCATTTAAAGAGAAATGTAGTGAAACAAACACACGCTGCTGGCCTTTAGCCACAAGTGCAATATATGCACTGTAGCTTTACCCTCTGAAACCCAAATCACTAAAATATAAGTCGTGCACCAAACAGGGTATACTTCTAATTTGATGGGTTCATTCAGCAAATTTTGCTGTGAGATACCTGTATTCTTATTCATACTTAGTGAGGCCCATAATGGTGTGTGCCAAAATATGCGTACCAAAACATCACCTGTGGATTGTGAGTTGGCTAATGCCCCATGTGGATTGTGAGTTGGCTAATACCCCTCTCAGACCGGAGTGGCGTCGTTACTGCGTTGCTACGGCAACGGAATATGGTCTCAGAGCGCGTTAAGATCGCCATAAGTGTGGTAAAAGCGTGGTGGCAACGTTAGATATCGTGCTCTGGTCTCCATGATCGTCAAAGATCACCGAGTCAAGGCGGTTGTTTAGAGCATGTTCAAAACAAAACGCCAAGGTTCTGGGATCTGACCTGGAAAGCTGTGAGAACGCGGTGGGGTCGCGAATGTCTCGAGAAAGCGTGGTAACATCTCAGTGAACATAGTCTACGCGCAGTACACACAACAATTGTATAACATTTGCAACGGCGACTTCAGGGCGTGTTCACCACGATCCTCGCGTGTCTGCTACGTCCCCATCAAGCGTTCGGAGTCCTTATGGCGTTGCCATGGCACCACGTCTTGATGGGACTCCCAGTGCGCCTATGGCGATCTTATGGGGTTCCAACTGCGTTTATGGAGTTCTTAATACGACAATGGCGCAGTGCATTACGCTGCTATGGCGACCATGCTTTTCATGTGCGATTTGCTATAAAAAAAGACGATTCAAAGTTCATACATCAGTGTCTATGTCGTGTTCATCATGGCAGAAGATATCCAGAACTTGCTAATACTACAACAATTGATTTTTGTGCAGCAACAGGAAGTCACTGATGCTGCAGTTGTAAACATGGCTGGATGATGTCCGAAGATCTCAGTTTGGCCACTTCAATCGCCCCATGCCCGATCCTGCATCTTTCCACAATTTCCTCAGAATTCCACCAGATTATGTTTGATGAGGTGCTCGCCAGACTTGCCTCAAAAATCACTAAGGTGGGAGTATCACGTTGACTAGTCAATGACTGGGTGTCAGACTCTGCAGCTTCATTCTTGGAGGCCCTCTCTGGTGATGAGGCTGGAGCTGATGAGGAGGATACTGTCCAAGATGACAGTCGGTTTCGGACACTGCCACGGCCTCTGGTAGCATGTTTCTTCGGCATTGTGTTTCTGCACAATGATCATCTTGAAATTTCCAAAAATCTTGACCAGCTTATATAGTCGCCGTGATCACGTGGTAAAAACGTATGTTCAGACGCGATATACGTAGAAGACGTCTGGTAAGAACCCCATGAGCGGCGAACCATCGCCGTTGCCTAGCCAATAGATCTCAATAGTGTGGAGAGGTCGTGACACGCGCGCCATGAGAACGGAGTATAATTGCATAGGTCGCGGTAAGAACGCGTCGTTTTTCAAGTTTGTAATGTTTTGGGACATTTCCTCGCTTTGTGCATTTTCTTGTCGAAGTACGGTCGCAGCAGCACAGTAAGGAAGCCATCCCGGTGTGACGGGGATAATTAGTAGTAATGTATTACATGTATATGCTCAAATCCAGCAATTGGGTATTCCAGGTGTATGATAATCAAAGGGAGACAACAAGCATTCGTAAGAATTTACCTGGGCTCGGTTGGATCATTCTCTCCACATTGACTTCAAAGTTAAATCCCCATGACATTTCTTGGCCTGTGAATATTCGGATGATCTTAATCTTTATAACCACAAAGAGTCCGACATGTCACATTTAACTGATAAAACTGTGGACGGGGGTTGACTGTCTCGAATGTTGTCGACGCGAGGTCAAAAAAATCTGTTGACTGATGTATGTTTCATATAGGTTATTTCATGCCTGCTTCCTGGTCCTTCCGCCTCAAAAAAGTTTCACAATTCCTCAATTTTAGACAAAAAGTGGAGAAAAGAAATTATTTCTATAAAAAGACGAATTGCTTTCAGGCATGATGAAATCGGCGGAAATAAGTACCACTACCGTCCGTCTAACACTACAGCGACCCCCGTCTAAGCTTCTTCTATTACGCCAAGAAACTTTGAATTAATGGTAACAGTTGGTTTTATTCCAGGTAAGTAAAGTTGTGTGTCTTTTATTTATTCGAGGTTAGTTGAATTTCGATTTATTTTTTCCTTCCCCTATTAGATAGTCACAGAAAAACTTTTATCTATAGATATGCTTATTTTTCAAAACAAATCCTGCGGAATGCTGTTTGCACCAAGTGTATACACTTGGTTTGACTCCTAGGGGATTTATTTAAGCATAATCCATCTAATTCGCTTTCTCCTTTGTACAATTTTATGATGTAAATTCAAAAGAGATTGAAGACAAATGCACAAATAAGGGGACATAACTATTAGTTTTATTATACGACGCAAAATGTTTTTGTCTGCTTAATTTTTTAGTTATTTTATATCACATTTTTCCTAGAAAATTTTGATGGGTGGCAGTTGCCTTCCAGTGTCTTGAACTCGTACTTTGATTTCGGCTGAATAAATAAACCCGTTTCTACAGTTTCTAAATTCTTTGTAATTTTTGACAATAAATTAATGTTTGAAAAAAAAGTAAGAAGTTCCGCCTATTAAAATGGAATGTTAATTTATTATATACGTTTAAAGTTATTATATTTGTATGGAAATGATAATCGCCATTATGTTTTTTTCATCTTTTGTTTTGTTTAATTCAGACATATTTTACTATGAAGTGTTTTGTAGACCTATTTATGCTTCTCATTCATCCAAGTCTTTAAAATATTACTACTTGTTGCAATTTAACAACAACTTTCAACTTTTCCCGTTCTTTTCTTTCCGTTTCTGATTTAATGAATGAATGAAGAAAAAATAGATTGAAATATAATGTATTCATTGTATTTATTGCATTTCTTCGTTTTTGTTGTGGAATTTCCTGTAGCTCTGATTTTGATAGCAGAATAAAAAAAACCGCGGGAAATAAAACGTATCCCGATTATCAAGTCGCAGTTACTCTATTTTTCGGCGTTCACACTTTTCGGGGGACAAAACTGTTAAGCATGTATAGATTATTTGAGTAGTCTTTAATACGAACTGGAACACGGTTATTTCCCCTCAATTGGTTACACCACGAATGTAATTCCAAGATAAGATAGATAAGATAAGATTTTATTGTATCATTGCATCCACCAAGGACAGCATACATAGTTTAAACAAAAGTTGATCATACAATTGTAACATAACATCTGGGGTGATCCTTTATGGATGTACAATGTGATATAACAAGTCTATAAGCATTAAAAGATGGTCGGTATAATGAGAATCAGTATAGAGCTAAAACGAAAATTATCTAAACTAGCCTGAAAAATAAACAAACTATTTCTACCGTAAGTATTAGTATAATAAACATATTATATTGAACTGGGGTGTTGGTTAACAGTTAACTCTGATGCTCTTTCTTGGAGACACTTATATATATATGAAGCAACCTGACTGGCAATTTCGTTTGGGGGATTTAAAACATTAATCATATTGCACGAGATGTGCGGATTGCTTTTGAAAATTGGCGTAAATTTTGAATTTCTAAGATTGTTATATTTATTACAGTCAAATATGAAATGATATTCGTCTTCTATTTCATTATTATTACATTGATTACATAAACGTGCATGTGGCGGAATATTTTTATACCGACCACGCTCTATCTCGAGATGGTGTGTGCTAAGCCTAATCATAGAACTAGAATACTAGTTAGTATTCTAGTTCTATGGCCTAATCGAAGTCAACGCAATTTTATGGGCCTTCGATTTGACGAAGTGCAGATAGAACGGTATCGCATAAAAATCTGGCTTTATTTTTCCATACGTCCGAAGTTTATGGATCGATTGCGAATTTTCTTGTTGATCAGTAACTATTAGGAAAAGATCGACAAATTTCTTTTCGGTGGCAGATTTTATGTCACTATTTTTTAGGTCATTTTGTTCAAGTTCAAAATATCTGGTTAAAATCCCTATGCTATGACAAAATGATTTTCTTGAACCAGCAGTTTTACAAGAAAGTTCATAATCCGCTACAAATGACGTGTCTAGGAGTTTGTTTTTATTATCCGATAAGAATCTTTTGAAGTAAAGAAGCATACGCTGATATGTCCAGAGATAGTGGATGGATACCACATTCAGCTAGACATCCCATGTTACTAGCACGCTTAGGCATATTGAGAATGGATTTACAAATGTTGATCGTACTTCTGTTTTCTTCAAATTTATCCCATCTGTCAATCTTAATTATGTTTTTGTTTTTGATAACGTATGAAGCCCAAATCTCTGCCCCATAAAGGGCTATCTGCTTAACAATTGAATGATAAAGTTTTATCATTACTGTAGAGGGCAGGGATTCAGTACAGCATAGTTTCTGTCTTATCGCATACCACGCTCGACGGGCTTTTTTCATTTGGTCAAAAAATGCGGTTTTAAAGCTAGAATTATTAGTAATCGTTAATCCAAGATAATTGTACGTTTCGGTATTTTGGAGTTCAAATTCTTCAAAATAAAATTTATATATATAATTTTGCTTTTTACTTATTTTAGAATTAAGAAACGTCATTATTTTTGTTTTATTTGGATTAAGTTTCAGTTGCCAATCGGAACAGAACTCGGATAAATTATTTAATTGATTCTGTAGATCAGACTCATTAGAGGACAATAAAACTAAATCATCCGCAAACATAAGATGGGATAACGGTTTACCATTAAGCAGCGGGGTGCTAGCTGACTTTTGAAGGTAGTTTTGTAGATCGTTAACATATATATTAAACAGGGTTGGACTCATGTTACAACCCTGCTTGACACCAACCGTCGAAGAAATTACCTCGGATAATTTATCATTAGATTTTATCTTATAAGTTGTTTTATGATACATCGATTGTATAATATTATATACATTACCGTTTATATTATGTTTAACTAATTTGTAGAGAAGTCCAGCTCGCCATACTGAATCAAATGCTTTTTTGAAATCGACAAAACATAGATACAAATTTTTCTTTTCGTATAATTTTCGGTTAATAATAGTCTTTAATATAAATAAATTATCTATTGTTCCTTTTCCTGGTCTAAATCCTCCTTGTGATTTATCAAGAATGTTATTGTTTTCTAGGTACTCGGAGAGTCGTTGATTAATAATTGCCAAAAACGTTTTGCCTAAACAGCTAGCTAACGCAATTCCTCTGTAATTATTAACATTATTAATGTCTCCCTTCTTATAGACAGGTATTAAATATGACTCTGTCCATTTGTCCGGAAAATGTCCAGACGAGAGAATGAGATTAAAGAACTTGAGGTAGTGGTCAATAAGAATACTAGAGGAATGTTTAATCATTTCATTAATTATCAAGTCTGGTCCGCTGGATTTGTTGTTCTTTAGATTTCTTACGGTTGTTTTAAATTCAAACGCGGAGATGGGCTTATTTATGTCCAGACGAGAGAATGAGATTAAAGAACTTGAGGTAGTGGTCAATAAGAATACTAGAGGAATGTTTAATCATTTCATTAATTATCAAGTCTGGTCCACTGGATTTGTTGTTCTTTAGATTTCTTACGGTTGTTTTAAATTCAAACGCGGAGATGGGCTTATTTATGTCATGGTTTATATTTTTAGTTTCTAAAAGAGTTTCAGTTCTTATTCTGATCTCCCTGTGGAGTGGTAAACTAGGGTCTTCATCCGTTGCTAATATTTGAGAAAAATGCTGTTCCCATTCACTGCAGGAAATATTTGGATCTTCATTAGACTTTTTATTTTCAAGTATTTTATTCACAAGCTTCCAATATTCCCTTGGGTTGTTGGTTTCTAATGCATTAATTTTATCTAAAATTTTATTTTTTACTTCTCGAGATTTAAATTTGGTTATCTTTTTATAGGCCCTACGTCTGTCCGAATATATTTTCAATAAACTTTTATCATTTGGATATTTTTGAAGTTGCCATTTGGCTTTAATCATATCGGTCTGATGGCGTTTACAATCCTTATCAAACCATTCGTTCTTCTTTTGATTTCTTTTCTTTTTATGTTTTATCAGTTTAAGACTGGTCTTGGCCGCACTTATAAGGATATCACTAAACATTTCCGTAGCATTATTTATCCCGTTTAATGAGCTGTCGAAGTTTGAAAGGAGAAAAGTGTTTGAGCGTTTTACCGAGTCTAATTGTTTTAGACAGAATTTAAACGCCTCGTCAGAGCCCGGTGCCCAAACAAAGTTAGCAGCATGCAAGTTGTTGTCTTTATTAATTGGCGTTACTGATATGTTATCGCGTGTTGACCTTCTGGATTTATCTCTTTGAGTGTAGTGACTGTTTTGACCTGGACTAAACTCGCAATATATGAGACAGTGATCAGAAAATTCGTTGATCGGAAGTATATTAAATGAAGTTATTTCTTTAAATATGGAATGTTGAACTAAAATATAATCGACGGTACTACAACCGTTATAGTGATAGCATGTCGGAGAACCCAAAACATCACCTAAAGTCCGGCCATTTAAAATACACATGTCCGTATTAGTACACATATTAATTAGATCTTTTCCGAAAGTATTAACAATGGTATCATTGTTGTTTCGTTTGATTGGTATATTATCAATAAATGAATTATGTGAAGTAAAATAGGGGAATTGTTTGTCTCGATCTAATGGTTCTTCGGTATGAAATATATCATCCAGTGATCCAGTTCGAGCATTGAAGTCCCCGCCTATAATTACTTTACCTAGTTTTTGGTGATTCATTATATCGGTTTCAAGGGCTGCGTATGGATCGTAATTCTTTCTATGCCAAATTTTTGAATTTTTAGGTGGTATATAAACAATTCCAATATATACGTCGTCCTTAATACTGAGGATGGATTTGTTTATTTTACACCAAACTATGTCACTGTCAAGGTTGCTTTTAAAAGTTATGGAATTTGAAAGTGCTAATAGATGTGATTTGATGTATATTGCAACCCCGCCTCTTGCATACGTATGGTCAGAGGTGCAGCTATTTCTTGCATATAGAAAACCTGTATAATTTGACAAAGAATATTTATAACAATCTAAATCTACTTGCTCTTGGGT